TGGTATTTGTTCACTGGATTTCTTATGTGCTTAGTTTTGTACTTTTTCTGGTCTTAGTGTTTATTTACTCCCCTCTGTGTTTTTCCCTTATTCTTAGTTTTTTTTATTTGGTTGTTTATTTGGTGCATTAGGTGCCCTTGCCATAGATCATCTGTAGATTTACACTTTCTCAGTGTCTTCTTTCACTTCATATATAATCCTAGAATTGCTACAGTGTGTTGGGATCAGAACTATGCGAGGGCCTGACAGTCTGCAGCAGAAATGACAGAAATCCTTATTCCTCTTGTCACTGATGATAGTCTTTTAGGACTGACTGTGTTTCTGAGGGTTGATATGCTGCTGAATGAATTTTGGACAGAGAATGTTACACAATGAAAAGGCCTAAATTGCCCAAAGTGCAAAACCCAATTCCCCTTCCTTACAGTACATTTTGCTCCTCTGGTTCATTGAGGGAAGGGTCAGCAGTTCCTCTGGCTTTCAAAACCGAGGCTTGCAATACAACCCATAATTTCTTTTTACTCTCCAAACCCAAACTATTCCCTTTTCATTTTTTTTCCAAACCTCAGATTCTCCTCAAAGGCCCCATTAGGGACCCTCATTGTGTCCAAAGCCCCCCATAATATGTACTTTTATTCCTTTTAAACCTTTAGCCTCTGGCTATCTGTGTGAATACAGCAGCTAGCCAGCAAGAACCCCTGCAGTGTTAATGGCCTTTTATGTTTACTGTAAGTGGTTTGCTCACTTTATATCGCCGTCCTATGACCTTTGGAGTAGAAGAAATGTGCTCTGAAGTGTACTTGTTTACGGTATGATTTCCAAAGATGGATTCTTTTTTAGGTATAAGTTCAGTCCGTCATCTTGATTAATTCTGAGAAATAGTTCTGCCTCCTTACCTCATACAGTTGGTTGAGAGTGCAGAGCTGTTTCTGTATCAACATGGATTGAGTTTCTTGTTTGAAGGCCTGCAAAGGTTTTTGCTTAAGAAGATCCGACAGCTACTTATTCATATTCTGATCAAACCTGTAGTGTAAAGCCTTTTCTATATACCCATTTCATAAACAATATGTAAATGATGCTGCATCCTTTTAGACTGTATAGTCAGTTTCTGTTCCAGCATCAGTACGCTCTGATACAAGTTAGAGAGAGAGCATGCTGAGGCTTATATTCTGGGATTTTCTTTGTCACTATGCATTTCATTAACAAGTTGTTGAGCCTCTGGCTGGCTTAGTCAATGATTGATGTAACATAGATATAGCTGCATTAGTCCTTGTCCCTGTATACACAGTGTACATGAGTACACTGTGTGTGTGTTGAGATTTTTTTTTTTTTTGCTCTATACAAGTAATTGTGTTAATCCCTGGAGCTGATTGGCAGTACAGTATACACATGCGAATTGTGTTTCGGTATCTTCTTGTGAGCAAATGTAAAAGTGCGTAGTTATAATAATAATAATAATAATA